GTCACATTATCATGATGATTCCTGACAATGGCCCTAGCTAGTTTGGCTCAGTGGATAGAGCATTGGCCTGTGGACTGAAGGGTCCCGGTTTGATTCCGGTCAAGGGGCACAGGCCCAGGTTGTGGGCTCAATCCGCGATCAGTGATTTTTTCTCATCATTGATATTTCTATTCTCTCTCCTTTATCCTTCCTCTCTGAATTCAATTAAAAGATATTTTAAAAAGATTCATGAGAATGTATGTAAGCCCTTACCACTGGCCTACCTTACAACCAATCTCTAATTAATGAGAGCTATTGCTGTTATAAATACCTTTCTTAAATTTGAATTTTTCTGTTTTTGTTTTGTTTTTATAATCTGAATCTCACTGGCATATTATATTTTTTATTGAAAGAGAAAATAAAATTAAATATACTCCTTATTACATCCATTTTAAAGAATAAGAAACTAGCACCTAGTTGTTATGAATACAGTGGGGCCTTGACTTATGAGTTTAATTCGTTCCGTGACGGAGCTCGTAACTCAAATTACTCGTATATCAAATCATAAAGTGAACGAGTGAGACACGTAATGTTGGGCTGATGTTGTGGCGTTCACTGTGACGTTCGCTGTGCCAACTAGCGGTGGGGTATCTGAAGCTGGCTTGTAACCCGAATTTTAGCTCGCAACTCAAAGCAAAAAATCGGCCGAGAGACCACTCATATCTCGAAAAACTCGTTAGTCAGGACACTTGTAAGTCAAGGCCCCACTGTACTGAATAAATACTACATTTAAAAAGAGCTATTAATAAATGGGGATTAATAACAAAAAATGAAGGTACTATTGAATCAAGTTTTCAAGTTACATTTCTTTTTTTTTTCAGAATTAGGCATAGATGGCAGATGTGAAGGAAATGTATCATTTTTTATAGCTCAATACATGTAGATTCTGACATAAAATATATACAAGAAAAAAGTTTTAGTTGCCACTGACCAAGAGTGTCTGAAAGATGTCATTACTGTGGTGAGAAGGTGCCACATGTTGCTCATTGTTTTACATGGCCATATTGCTAATATATGGTTAACTGAGTTAGTGTAAATAATAATGTTTGTGTTACCAATGGAAAAAAATGACATTGCTTTTGACAGACTGATACTAAGCATAACAGCAGCAGCTCACTGATGTTCACACACACTGCTATTATTCTCTATGTCACCTTAATGACTTGGTTCTTCTGAATACAACAGATGGCTACCAATTTCATTGTGTTCAAATATCAGGTTTATCACTCTTAAGTGTGTGTGGGGCAGAAGGAGGCAAGGCGGAAAATGTGCTGGAGGGATAAAGGGAGAAAGGAAAATGGGGGGAGAATTTGGGGGTCCTTTATGAGATGCTATGGTTGGCTCTATATCCCATAAATTACTAAAACTACTCAAGACAAAGCATACTTCTGAAGCCATGTTAGTTTTTCCTCAGGTCTTTTCTTCCCTATTGAGGACTCATGAGGATGTCTGGAAGGTTTTCTGAACACTTATAACATTTTCAAATGGTGCCATTAAATCCCTACTCAGTTTAGTTCTAAATATATGGAATATAATTTTATTCCAATTGTAATGCACTAACAATATGTTTATGTCTTTTAGCCTGGGGATGTGAATTCTAACAGTTTATTACCCATAAAGTAAAATATGGTTGTCTTTACTTTGCCTAATAATTACCTCTTTCATGCTTCATGGGACACCAGACCTCTATAAATGGCACAGGCATCTCTCTATTCCCAACTGTTATACTCCTCAATCACTGTATAATGCATGTCAAAACTTCATTACATAGCCCCCAATGAAATGCTAAGCTCCTCAGGGACAGGGACTTTATTCTAGATCAAATTTTTATATAGTTGACTTCCTCTATTTTACCCACTTCTAGTACATGCCCTAGCCCATATACAATGGGCACTTCATAAGTACCTTGTGAATTGAACTGTGAATAGAATCTGGTTCAGTCTCTATACTATTGACTCTTTGTGATCTTATTGCCTTTCTCTTACAAATCCCAAGGCTTGAAGTGTTTGAATGGAGAAACACTTCTCTCTAGGGCTGTTTATAACCCTACTAGAGGTCTAGTGCATGAAATTCATGCACGGGTAGGTTCCCTACCTAGGGCTGTTTATAACCCTACTAGAGGTATAGTGCATGAAATTCATGCACGGTAGGTTCCCTAGGCCTGGCTGGTGATCAGGGACAACCAGGGCCATCCTTCGTTCCACACTGCTCCCTGGTGGTCAGCACATGTCATAGCGAGCGATGGAAGTCCTGGTCCCCGGTTGAACTTTCGAGGGGACATTTTGCATATTAGCCTTTTATATATATAGTAGAGGCCCGGTGCACAAAAATTTGTGCACTTGGTGGGGAGGGGGGTCCCTCAGCCCTGCCTGTGCCCTCTCGCAGTCTGGGTCCCCTCGGGAGATAACGACCCGCTGGCTTAGGCCTGCTCCTGGGTGGCAGAGGGCAGGCCCAATCCCTAAGTGCAGTCCCTGGTTGGGCTCAGAGCAGGGCCGATTGGGGAGTTGGGGCACCGCCCCCTGTCATGCACAGAGCATGGCAGATGGGAAGGTTGCAATGCCAC